GATTCGTACGCTATCCGAAAGATGGGAGAAAGTAGTGGCCAGCGATGGACAATACTTTGAATCATAAATGTATAACCAGTTTTTTACAATAAAGCCTCGAATTTCGGAAAAAAAAACGGCGGAAGCCGTTTTTATTATCTTATTATTATCTTATTATTATCTTATTACGTTATTATTACTATATCATTATTTATATTATTCAAAATAATATAGAATAGAATAGAATAGAATAGAATTTATTATCCTTTAGCATTTACATAGCCAAAAAAGGGATTTTATATAAATTCCGCACTTATCCTTTCACACTGCCAGTATCTAACTCTAAAAACAAATAAAAGATTTTCTTAATATTCTTATTTTCACACATTTCTTTGAATATCATAATATATGTTCTTCTATTTTATAATATTTATTGCCTACATGTCACAGCCTAATCATTGCATATACTATACTATACAATATACTACAATACGGTAGTACGATTCATAACTACAAATATACATAGATATGTCGCAGTACAATATATATTCCTAATATTATATCACAGCATTTCTAATCGTGTCTCACGCACTTCTAAATGCAAACTTGTTCTGCCTAAATATATTACTCCATGTCCTTTACCTCGCTAGTTATCTTTTCCTCTGTTTTCCTTTTCCTGATCTCTTTTTTTTCTTTCTCTCTCTAACCTAAAACTTTACCTAAAACTTTACATTTAACTAATTCTTCATTCCAAAGTTTCTTCCATATTTCCTCTTTATCCTTTCCTAGTTCCTTAAACCAACTATATACTTTTGAACATTCCTCCACATAATATTCCATACTATCCCTATTCCGCAAAATGCATATTCCCTATATTCCTTATCTAGCCAATATTTGTTTTTTTCCTTCATATCCCCATCTAAGCCTAACTAAATCTCACATGCCTTCGCCGTCCTATCCTATATATTAGGAGTAGGAAAAAGTTCGTGGCGTTTTTTTAATGCCATCTAATGGGAAAAACGCCACGAACTTTTTCCTAATATGTTTTCCTTCCTTAAATAATTGAAATCTATTCTCCATATCAAACTCTTTCCGTTGTACCTCGCAGTCCTAATCCTACTATCTTCCCATTGTCTTTGCTCATCCCTTTCCCTCCTTATTTCCTCCCTTCATTCCCATCATCCCCTAATTCCCTAGCATTTATTCCCCATCCATTTCTATTGCAAAACCTTTCTCTTTCTTTACTTCATCATATATATTCTTCCATTTATCCTTTTCTTTTTCTTTTCAACAACCGAAGTAGCTGTCCTCCCTCCTTTTCTTTAATCTCCTCTCATATCTTATGGCTCTTATTCCTCAACCTATTCTTAATATATCCGTAGCTAATTTCCTCATTATCATATCTCGGAGTGCAAAATTCTATCCATCTCACATAATCTAACATAATTTTCTCCAGATTTCCTCTTTCTTCCTATCCCCAGATCCACTCCATATTCCATAACACTTTGTATTAGGTATATATTTAAACAGTATCCATCTCCTTATAAAATCGTTTCTGCTGTACCCTTTCTCCTAAATCCCATATCTTTTTGCCGCCCCTTCCTTTCTTGCTCAATTCTATTATATGATTTTCATAATCACCTTTTTTATTCAAAAGTAAACCTAAGTACTTAAAACATTGTACCTCAATCTCTCTAGCCGCCCATTTCCATGCTTTCTTCTTTTCCTTTCCATACTTATTAAATATAAATACTATCTTTGTTTTTTCAGCGCACAGTTCTAGTTCCTACTTTTTAAAAATCTTCTTAATATATCCATCATGTCAGTGCAACTCTATTTTTTGCTAACAGCACTATATCGTCCGCATGCGCTAAGTTCTATATCCTTATACTACCTACCGCAATTCCTCCTATATTTTTATTTTTTAACTCTCTGTCAATGTCCGCAATATACAAATTAAAGGAATGAACTCAGGACATAGTCCTGCCTAACTTCTCTTCTTGTATGG